TGCATAGCCACCCCAACTGCTTCAAGGATTGCAACTCTCGTGACTTTACACTCTGCGTTTGATGATGAGAGTGGATGAGTAGACTGTCTTATCATCACATATCACTACTATCATGCCTAATGGAAAGAACAGCACATCTCCTCCCGATTCAGCGTGGCCTGAGCCGCTAGCGCCTGGCTCAAGTAGCAGCTTCCCACATGACCTGTATTGATCTTTATTTGACTGACATGACTTACAAGTTGAGTTAGAGGTATCCAGAGAGGGTTATAACTATAGCTGCACCATCTATAAACCCACTTCTGATTCCCCACGAAGTTCGTGACACTTGTCTGAGATGCAGGTAGCGACCATGACGTTCGAAGGCATCATTACTTCATCATCGGGCCCGCCTGGTGCGTGCGGCCTCAGTCGAAAGCACAGCTGCATTGAAAGGTGCTGCTCACGCTTACATAGACGTGCTTTTGGCCAAACATGCCCCGTGGGACAACTTGTACACCGTTGACGTGATTATCACCGAGTATTAGCCTGTACATCTGTTGTGAGCACTGTGATTATGACCATGACTCGGATCATGTTCATGAAAAGCTAGACAGACTTGTGAACCTGCCAAAGGTTGGGAGGGAGCACATGAGGCCCTCACTTCTTCTGCGCTGTGGAGTCCTTTTGCTGAATGGCCTCACAATCTGCAGAAACAGGGTAGCACATGAGCTATAGTCTAAACTCCTAGTCTCCCCTCTGAATAAGCCCTATAATAGGAGCCCTATAGCCCTATATCCCTATATAAGTCCCTTTAGAGAGTTCAGGCTATAGTTCACATATTGGGACATCCAATCCAGCCTGCAAGGACTGCTGGAGCTCGTCCTTGATGCCCGTCAAAGGTCCCTTGCAGCTTGTGGGGTTCCCAAAATTCAGGGATACCTTGAAACGGCGGTTATAGGGGACATATACGGGTAACCAGAGGGATATAGGGTTTAGGGTTTAGGGTTGAAAGTTTCGCAAAGTTACGGGTACCATATTGGGGGTCCCCATAATAAGGATTACAGTATACTGGGTCTCATCAGATGCAACAAACTGCGTGCCAGCGTGCCAGCCGTTGAATTCGCTAGAGCAAGCAGCCAACCCTGAACCCTAAACCCTATATCCCCCCAGCAATTCGCCTGTCGCGTTCGCGACTGTGACTGCTTGAAATTGATCCAATCTGAACGGGTCTTGTCGTCGAACTTCGGCAAGGCAGGCCTTGTTTGGATGAGCAGAAACAATAGCCTGCTGTATTACCCCAATAAGGGACAATCAAATAGAAAAGATAATGGACATGAGATGGAAACTGGAGTTATATGCCGCATGCTATTATATGCTTGATGTAAGACCGGTCTCTCTTGCTGAATGCCGGGGTCATGTAACGGTGTCCCATGTCCCAACCTTCAGAACAGGTGGCTAAGGAACTGGCTCCAAATTCAATGCATTGATGCTCTTCATCTCGGAGAGCTGCGGGGCCCGCCTTAGAGACTATTTGGGGGTTATATAGGGATAGTGAAAAA